AAGACAAGACGGGTTTGTTTCAATGGGAGGACTTAGTTGACAGGATACAAGCTAGTGATGAGGAATTGAGAGCTGGTCTACGAGCTCTTTCGGCTGTGGAGATTGATGGCTATTGGAGAATCGGGATGAGAAGTATATGGATATTGTTCTGAGTATGCTTTTGCACAATGCGGTGTTGAATGGATGGTCTTTAAATGCGCTTAAGGAAGATGAAGTTGTGGGCATGCTGGAGGCTCATGGGTTTCCCCGCATGCTAGCACTGCATTGTTTAGAAGTGTATGGAAGCCAGGTAGGAGAGGGGAATGGAAGCAACGGTAGAGCGTGTGTTTTGGATGAGAGGTGGATTTGTATTCATTTTTCCAGAGTGGTTCTGAAAGGAGGGAAGATGAAAATKGAGAGTTTTATGGATGAGTGGATGAAGAAAATTCCTGCTGGGATGTCTGCAAGCTTTGAGATGTTGGAAGGGGAAGTGTTGGTAGAGAGGCTTGGAGTTGAGACATGGATCCGTGCCTTCAGTGTTTCATCTCTGCCCTCCACTCCTGCTGATCATTTTGCAGTGCTCTTTAGGGAGCGACAGAAGTGGGGATGGAAGGATTTACAGCCATACATCAGGTTTGCTCGGATCCCTCTCTCCCACTTCCTTTCTCCTCGTCTTCTTGGCTAATTTATTGAAACTGTTCTCCTTATATTTATTACTGGATTGGTTGGAATTGATTGCTCTAACTTTTGTTTCTGATTTTGTATTTATAGAGATTTGCATATACCAGGTCTCTCACCAGAAGGATTGCTTCTAAAGTACACTTGAAAAATGCAGCCTACCTCAGATGCTGAACCTGTTTTTAGTGCAAGGTAATCCCACCATGCATCTCACGAGGTATTCCATGCTTGTCTTCTAATGAGTGGTTAAGATGGACTGCTTACAAGGTTGAACCACATAGTGCTATAAACAATTAGTTCCGAAGGCATCTTTACTGTCCCATCAATTGAATTGTTCAGTGGCTTTGCCATAAAAATTACTAAATCTATTACATAAATCCTGTTATACTTGTATCTTGTTTTACATAATAATTTATTAGCAACAGGCTCTCTGATGGGATGTCTGGAGTTCTTTTTGTTGATCACCCAAGATATGTAAAGGGCCCAATATAGGTTCATTGTGGGAGAATGGAATTGGTTTCTCTTAGCCCCCTATTAAGGTGCTGCCTTTAATGGTTGATAATATCTTTAGTTAATCTTTTTCAACAACACACATTTTCATCACTAA